AATATGACAAAAACAGTGGAGGCCTTAATGTTCCCAATCTCGAGCTCTATTATTATTCCTTCACGCTTCAAGCCTTGAAAAACTAGGATTGATGAAAGCACCAATGTACTGTACCTTGGATTAAAATTAGAAAGAAGTATAGTCTATCCTCTTAAACTTGGTGATGTCTTATTTTCTGCCATGTCGCCATATGACTGTATGCAAATATTTGGACCAATTATTGGGCAAGCCGTGAAAAGTGTGGAAACATGTGGAGAAATTGTGCAATTGGTCTGTAGATTGGCATAGTAACATACCCATTTTTCATAACCTGTTACTACGTATTGGGAAAAAAGCAATCCAATTCCCACAATGGCAAACTCGAGGAATACATTATCTTTCTGACATAACCAACGACAACGGCTTGATGTCCTTCCGAGAATTGAAAGACACGTATAATGTGCAATTACGTACTGCCATGCGCACATATGGAGTTCCTTGGAATCAACCTCTGCCAACACATCAATTAATTAAGGTCATATTAAGTCCAAACAGTGTGAGCGGCACTACTTCATATGTATATAAAAAACTGCAAGATAAATTAACCGGATATATTGGCATCTCTGCAGTATGGAACGCAGATCTAAAAAATTATACACAGACTATTAATTGGAAGAGAATATGGAATAATATCTCCTTAACATCGCGTAACCACAATCACCAATTGATACAGTATAAAATGATACACAGATATTACCTGTCAACCAGAAAATGCTGTCAATTAAGGACGATTCCAAGACCCATATGCCTTCTCTGTAACCAAAAGACTATTGGCACATACACATGGTTTATGAATGTACTGCAGTAAGAATGTTCTGGAAACAGGTTATTGACATTGTATCTGAGATTATTGGAGTTCACATACCCTGTCTCCCAAATGTTGTATTGTTGAATGATGATTCTTCTCTTGACCCCTGCCCGATCTGTACTGCGCATGTGCGAGTTGGTCCGCCATATTGGAGAACTCCGGACGGCAACCCAGGAAGGACACTTGACAAAGTGGCTTTTGGCAAAGTAAAAAAAAAACTCGAGAGAGATGAGTTATGACGTCACTATTATTTAACAACTCTTTTTATTGGGTTATTTTATTTGGAGTTAAGTACATTGTCAGAATAAGTGAGAAATTGATTTAACTTCTGTTAGACAGCTATCATACTGAATAAATATTTAATGTGAATGTATGCAAAAATGTATGGCATATGGCTCAAAGATTATTAATGTTCCCCTTTTAGAAGTGTAGTTATGGTCATTTGTTCTGGGAATGTCATTTACAAGCCTGAGACCTGGAAAACAGGCTCGGGGCATAACAGGGGAGATAACAGAGTTGGTCATAAACGTCAAAGGGCAAAAGGTTAGATAACTACAGTAGGATAATTATTCCCTAACAACATGCAGTACTGTACTTCATGTTATCTTTTGATGCAGTCATCGAGCTCTCATGGTCAATTTAATAAAGCATATTTTGCTTCCCCTTAATAATTGCAGTATCCAAACATGTATGTTGATATCAGGTACAAATATGGAATGTTTTAGTTGTTAAACACCTTGAATGTACATCATTACACTGCCATTTCTGACTTTCAGTCTTTATCAGAGAATTAATCACAGAAAACACTTTTAGTAAGGTCACTTTTTTATTTCCATAATACAAAACTGAATGAATATAATGAATGCATGCAAATTGAAAGAAATCTAAGATAACCCAATAATGGCTGAAATATTGTTCATATTGGATAATCAAAAAGTTTACATTGTAAGTGTATCCATGTAATCTATGAGATATTCTTATCTTAAACATGTATACTGTGATATTATGAGTTATCTTCTTGTTCTAGTTTCAGTGTCTGGTTTAGAGGATTTATATCCTGTACCATATTTTTCATAGATGCATTATCTAGCCATCAGGAATTTTTTAGTGTTTTTCTCAGGCCTCAAAAGAATGACAAAACATTTGGGGGCAAAAATGCAGAGCAGCAAGCCAAAACTAGATGCAAGGATTGCAAAAATCTCCACAGCAACAGTGTATTTCCCGGGAGAGCTAATGTACGCAGGGACAAAAGCTATCCAGACCGCACAGAAAATCAGCATGCTGAAGGTGATCAGTTTGGCCTCATTAAAGTTGTCAGGGAGTTTCCGAGCAAGAAAGGCCAAGAGGAGGCAGGTGCAAGCCAACAGACCAATGTAGCCCAAAACCAGAGAGAAGCCCACCACTGAGGACATGGCACACTCAAGGGTGACCTTTGACCCTTGGAAACCAAGGTCACGCTGAGGTACAGGGGGGCTGAGGGACAGCCAAGTAGCACAGATTATAATCTATATGAAAAAAACAAAAGAGTGTTATTTTTTTACAACGCGTTTAGAAAGCTTATCCTTTTATGAATACAAAAATATTCGCACCTGTATGGATGTGAATAGGCAGACGCTTCCTCTCTGTTGGCCTGGACCAAACCACTTCATCAAGGATCCAGCACCAGGCCGAGCTGAGCGGAAAACAGCAAGAACTACGAGGGTTTTGACCAGCAGGCAGGAGACACAAAGTACAAAGCTGATCCCAAATGCTGCCTGCTGGAACCGACAAGTCCACACTGATGGACGACCAATGAACACCAGAGAGCACAGGAAGCAGAGCTTCAGCGACAGGAGAAGCAGGAAGCTCAGTTCTGAATTGTTGGCTCGCACCTGCAAATAGGAATTGGTATTGAATTGGTAATAAAAAGGCTAGAACATTAACAGCACATAACAGATTAATCTAAAGTATTTTAAACATATTTCATATCAAGCAATGCAGCATTATATTATTTCAGAGTGAATATACTGTCCTACAACTGCAAATTACAAATGAGTTTTACAAAATGTACTGTTTCTCTATCGCTTTAGTCTGGTTTCTTACCATAGGTGTTTGACGGTAGTAAATAAAAACTACAAACACAGCTGTTGTCACAGAGACACCAGACACAGCTACTGTGGCCAGGATAAAGCCCAATGTTTCATTAAAGGAAAGGAAGTCCAGCTGGCGAGGTACGCAGGCAGTTCGTTTAGCATTAGACCAAAACTCAGATGGACAACGCTCACAGATAAGGGAACCTGGAGAGGAGTAGGAAACATAGGAACACTGAGGATGACCTGAAATCATATTACAAAGTAAAGAATATCTTATGTGGTTATTTCTTTTTACCAGTGTGATTGCTTATCTCTCCTTCAGCACAAGGGATACAGTCAAAGCAGCAGAGAGGTTCTCCCTTCTTGTTGGCCTTTCGGAAACCTGGGGAACAGCTCTCACTGCACACTGAAACAGGCACCTAAACAACAAGTAAAACCGTATTCTTGAGTACAAAATATATTCTTCTAAACATTTGAACTGGAAAGACATTTTAGCCTTGATCAATTTCCCTGTTCCTTTCACCTGATTGGATCCTGTGTTCCACTGAATAGCTGACGTGTCAAGGTTGATGTCAAACCCGTCCACACGTCCAATCAAAACTACTTTGAGTGACCCCTCAGGGGTGTTCTGCCAGTTAACAAGGTCGTACTTTGCTGGAGTGTTGCCCTCTTGAAAATAAAACATTTCCCCCTGTGGTGTGGTAAAATTCAAGTTGTTCAAGTGGTGCAACACCTGAAAGCAACACAATTGTAGTAAATATTTCTAAACCTAAAGGTAAATTACACAGCTGCATTTGTCACATAAAAAAACATTTTTACTCTTAATGTCCTCAATTAAAATGTCTTTTGAAATGGACATAGTTGTGTTTACCTCTATGGGTTTGATCTGTTTTGGAGAGGAGCAGGTGGAGCTGATGTTTCCAGGTGAGCTGTCACTGTTAGGGCAGGACAGAAGGCTGTGGAGGGCGTGGGCTGAAGCATAAACAGCAAGATAAACATTATATGTCACTCTTAGTTGAGAGGTGTCAGTGAAGAGATTCTGCACTTCCTCCAGGGACTCTCTGCCGCTGCACGGTGGAAGTGAGGCTTTCTGAGACAACCGGTCTGTGGGAGACGGTGAACTTGTAGAGAGTGGTGAGGTCCCAGGACTACAACCAAACACCATTTCCCAGAATTCCCATAAGAACTTATCATCAGGTCGTAAAGAGGGATTCAAACTTCTGAGAAAATGTTCAAATCCAGGTATTGCTGAACTTCGAATTGCCACACCAAGAACACCACTAGCCACTTTAGAAGTGATAGGATCTTGAAGCAGATTACCACTGGTGCTCCAAGCCTCACTGGCCAAAAACTGTTTATCAGTCACCTAGTGAAAGCAACACAAAAAGGTATAATGTTCCTCAAATAAGATTAGCTATAATTATTTACAGATTCAGTTCACAATGTAGTTTCAATTGCTCACATTTATGTTGGCGAGTTGCAGAAACAGTTCCCTCACATCTGTGTACCAGGTAAAGATCAGAATCACTTTTGCAGTTGAGGCCTGAATTGTGAGGGCTGCTCGTCTAGCATCCATCACAATGTTTTCCCTTTGCAGAGTCTCTATGAATGCCAGGCACACCCCTGCCCCCTGCGTCTCATCCTGAAATACCTGCCATATACAGTCGAAAGGAGCAAAAAACATTAGGTGAATGAAAAGGTTTCAAATATTGTATTTAGGCAGATGTCTTATACAGATGCCATAACATTTATAATAGGACAAAATGAATAACCTTTATTGCCACATGGCCATAATCGTTGTTTGCTATCACTGCTCCAATCCAGGTCCAATTTAGGCGTATTGCAAGTTGGGCAATAGCCCGGGCTTGGTAAATATCACTGGGCATTGTCCTGAAGAAGTTAGGATACTGGAGCCTGTCACTTAGACAGGGGCAGCTGGCTGTGTAGCTCATCTACATTAAAAGATCAAAAAGAAAAAATATATATATATACATAAATAGATGTTCTAAAATCACGCACTAGTTTATAATTTGCACAGAGAGAATGTGTTTCTTAAGAAGACTGTGTATGTTGTGAGGGCAGCAAAAGAAATATGAGAAAACATAAAAAACGTTCCTGTTAAATGTGGTAAATGTTTAACCACAGTGTTTGTGAAAGTTACAATTTAACATTAAGACAACAAATTGCATTTTAAAATCAGAATGTTTGAATTGTGGTTAAACTAAGCAGATGTATATGGTACCTACTAAAGGTATGGAGAGTGGCGCCAGGATTCTTGAGAGTATCATGGCTGTTATAGACGAAGAACCACCAATGATCAATGGAACAGGCTGATCACCTGATGACATTATAAGATATAATACAATAACTTAACTTTATAAGGGCTTGGTTCTGTTTTGAACACATTATTGCAGAGTTTCATTTCATTTGCCAATTATTATAAGAGTAGGATTTTCATTAGTACCAAACAATATTAATGTGTACCTGTTCTTTCTCCGATCCCTTCTCCATACACAGAAGAATACTCTGGCGGAGCTGCTAAATCACAGGTAGCACTTTCTCCTCCAACCAGAGACAGTGCTGCCTGCATGGCCCAGGAGGGTAGGGCACAGCTATCACGAATATGGTAGCCCAGCTTCACACCTGGCAGCAAGCTGTCACTATGATTGATTTCCTCCAGCGCAAACACCATAGCATAAATATACTGTAATGGAAGATATTCCAAACTGCATGAGAGGGATAGAGGAGAACATATCATTCAAATGTGACTGTGAG